TCTGGCATTCTGTCCTGTGAGTTCGTGGGTTCTAGTCTCTCAGCTCTGTCTTTTTAACCTAGGGAATTTGGTTCTTCTTGGGTGCCCCCTTTCTCCTTCACAGCCTGGAAACGCCATCATGATATTAGCTGTCCTTCATTGCCTAGTGTCCAATTTTTGAAAACCTTTTTTAAAAATATATTTTGTCTGTTTTATGGTTGTTTCAGGCAGCAGTTTCATCCCTGCTACTCAGTAAGTGGAAATCTTTGGAGTGACACCCTAATGGAAAATTTTATTTTATTTTAGTTTGGTTTGCAAGGGTAAAAGTTGCATAAGCGGGCTTGTATTTTAAGGGGAAGATAGTGGAGAAGAGAAATTGATTAAAGATAGTAAGAATGGGGGAAAAAGGGGGCTAATGATGGATCAGAGTACCACAGAAGGTGAAAAAAGACAAGCTAGCTTTATTGCAGGATGCCAGTAGACCAGTAGAGCTTGGTTTTGGGAAGTTAAGAGACCTTAATGGTCTCTGTTTTCTCAGTGAAGCATAAGTTAGGTTATCTGCCTACAAAAAGAAAGCATGCATGCGTTATCAGTATTAACAGAAATGGGACACGTGGGGACTAGCCATTCTGGAAAATAGAAAAAATGTCTGATTAACAGTAAGGAATATATTTTAAAGCAGTGTTAAGGGCCCTGAAGAGGTTGACTGATTGGCATTTAAACCCATTAAGAGATGTGATGTTGGGGCCAGCAGATGTCCTGGTGCTTAATGCACTGGACTCCCACATAGCCAACCATGGTTTGAGTCCTGGACCCAGCGGCTTGGAAATCACTTCAGGTGTGTGTATGTGCATGCCCAAAAACCCAGGAGGAGAATGGAGGGGAAGAGGTTGCAGTGTGGCATTCCACCCGAGGGATGACTTCTCACTTTTCCTCTCACTGTCTCTCTGCCTCTCTGCAGTGAGTGCAAGCACCCTATTGCAAAAACCTTAAAAAAAAAAAAAAAAAGAAAGGTGCAACTGTCATCCAGCACAGTAGTTGACATACAGTAGTTTTCAGTTAGAAACAGATGAATCTTGATAAGATTTCCTGCTTACATGACAACAAGAACTTGGAATGAGCCATTAATGGGTTCTCTAGATTTTGATAAGTTAAAGGAAATTTAGGAACAAGGAGTTTAGGGAAGATACTCTTAGAGAAATCTTGGGTCATCAGAAAAGTCATGATGCATATTTGCATAGTAAAACATAGGAAAAAGGGACCAGCAGATGGTATAATGGTTACATCACTGGACTCTCATGTAGTTGACTGCAGTTCTAGTCACAGACCCAGTGGCTTGAAACTCAACACCAGGTGCATGCGTGTGTGTGCCCAAAATCCTAAGAGGAGACTGGAGGAGAAAAGATTGTGGAGTGACCATCCTCCCTGGGGGTGATTTCTCATTTTCTTTCTTTCTGTCTCTCTCTCTAGTGGGTACATGCACCCTATAGCAAAAACCTCTCTAAAACAAACAAACAAACAAACAAAAGGCAAAATGAGGGCATACTTTTGTCTTTCTATAGTAAGTGGAGGGGAGGGATTTACAAGATACAATACCACTATGTTGCTATAATATTGAGGGTGCCATTGACATGGAATTCAATGTAGAGGAATCTATATATTTCTCATATCTTTCAGTTGTGCCTTGTCAATATGAAACATACTTGAGACCAAAATACTTGAATATATGTGCACACATGTACATAAATACAAACTTTTTTAAAGGTTAGGTTACCTGGAGGTATTAGCAGATTTCTTCCAATATTCCAGAGCCATATGGAGCACAGCAAATTTGGGTACTTCAGATAAAAAGTAAACTTCTGATTTCTCAATATTAGCTATAGGATACTTGGTAGCATATGATTTATACTGTAACCACAACAAAAAAAACATCGAGTAGGTCAGATTGTGCAGTGCTCTTATTGTCTCATTCTGGACTCCAGACTTCAGTATCCCCCACATTTTTCAAAAAAGGTATTGATTGAGGTTAAGAGTGATAAAGTCCCTTGGTGAACGTTACGGAAGTAGTTACTCTAAGGTGAACTCATGTTCCTACCGAGAGTCTGGCACCTTTGTTACCCTGTCACTCCTGTGATGGTTAACTTTTCATAAATTCAGTTGGTCCATATTATCCAGATAGTTGGTCGAAATTATTCCAGATGCTTTTGTAAAGGTATTAAAGATGGGATTACTATTTTATATCAGTAGACTTTGAGTAAAGCAGGTTACCTTTCACTATGTGGGTGGGCTCCATCTAGTTCATTGAAGGCCTTAATTGAAAAACACTGACCTCTTAGGAAGAAGGGGAAATTCTGCCAGACTAGAACTGCAACTCTTCTCTGGGTCTCTAGCCTATCAGCCTACTCTGTAGGCTTTAGACTTGCCTGCCTCTAGAATCCTACGAACCAAGTTAATTTCTTAAGATCTCTCTCTTTCTCTGTGTCTTCTGTCAGGTTTAGTTTTGCTGCTTTTCTTTTCTTGTTTGTTTGTTTGTTTCTTTATTTTTAAGGCTATTGCCAATAAGGCCTGTGAAATCACTGGAGAAAGAGAGAAGAAAAGTGAGAAATCACCTCCCCTAGGGGGATGGCCATGCCATAATCCTTTCTCCTCTATTCTCCTCCAGGGATTTTTGGCATGCATACATACACCCCCAGCATGAGTTTCAAGCCACAGGCCCAGACCAAAATACTTGAATATATGTGCACACATGTACATAAATACAAACTTTTTTAAAGGTTAGGTTACCTGGAGGTATTAGCAGATTTCTTCCAATATTCCAGAGCCATATGGAGCACAGCAAATTTGGGTACTTCAGATAAAAAGTAAACTTCTGATTTCTCAATATTAGCTATAGGATACTTGGTAGCATATGATTTATACTGTAACCACAACAAAAAAAACATCGAGTAGGTCAGATTGTGCAGTGCTCTTATTGTCTCATTCTGGACTCCAGACTTCAGTATCCCCCACATTTTTCAAAAAAGGTATTGATTGAGGTTAAGAGTGATAAAGTCCCTTGGTGAACGTTACGGAAGTAGTTACTCTAAGGTGAACTCATGTTCCTACCGAGAGTCTGGCACCTTTGTTACCCTGTCACTCCTGTGATGGTTAACTTTTCATAAATTCAGTTGGTCCATATTATCCAGATAGTTGGTCGAAATTATTCCAGATGCTTTTGTAAAGGTATTAAAGATGGGATTACTATTTTATATCAGTAGACTTTGAGTAAAGCAGGTTACCTTTCACTATGTGGGTGGGCTCCATCTAGTTCATTGAAGGCCTTAATTGAAAAACACTGACCTCTTAGGAAGAAGGGGAAATTCTGCCAGACTAGAACTGCAACTCTTCTCTGGGTCTCTAGCCTATCAGCCTACTCTGTAGGCTTTAGACTTGCCTGCCTCTAGAATCCTACGAACCAAGTTAATTTCTTAAGATCTCTCTCTTTCTCTGTGTCTTCTGTCAGGTTTAGTTTTGCTGCTTTTCTTTTCTTGTTTGTTTGTTTGTTTCTTTATTTTTAAGGCTATTGCCAATAAGGCCTGTGAAATCACTGGAGAAAGAGAGAAGAAAAGTGAGAAATCACCTCCCCTAGGGGGATGGCCATGCCATAATCCTTTCTCCTCTATTCTCCTCCAGGGATTTTTGGCATGCATACATACACACCCAGCATGAGTTTCAAGCCACAGGCCCAGTAGCACTTTAACCACTATCCCACCTACTATCCCTGCTTTATGTATTGTTACGGTCTGTCATTTGATGCATAAATGTTGAAATTGTTCTATCTTTTTACTGTATTGACTATTTTACTATAGGTGCTCATTTGTCTCTTATAAACTTTTTATTGAAAGCCTATTATGTCTGTTATGGGATGGCCCCTTTGCTCTTGTTTTTAGTTACTATTTGCATGAAATATTCTTTTTCATATCTTTACTTTGAATATATTTGTGTCTTCAGATCTAAAGTGAGCCTAAGGCTCTTTTTTTAGTATATATTTATTATTTGCATTTAATCACTATACATCGTTACAGGGTACAACATGGTTTTTCCCACCATGAATACAGTGCTTATAAGTCAAGATGAAGACATTACCATATATATTGTCAACAGTAAATAACTTTTCATTTTTGTGTCAATTAAACATACTGTTTTTTTTTCCTGTTCCACTCCTTCACCCTATGTTGAAAAATCCATTCTTCCAATATCTGTCTTAAGTGGGAGAATTTAATCCATTTACATTTAAATTAAACTTAATTTAGTACATTTACATTTAAATATGTTACTTACTTTCCACATATTTGTGAACTCCTTAAATAGCCTTCTCTTTTAAAAAAAAATATTTAACTTTTATTTCTTTATTTCTTCATTTTACTTTAACCAGAGAGGGACAGAGCAAGAGAGAAAGTCAGGAAACAAGCCGCCAGGTCCAGGACTTGAACCAAGGTCAGCCAGGTGGGAGTCTAGCAGCCTTAATCACCATGCTGCCTGCTAGCCTATAGATATACTTCTCTCATTGGAGAAATGCTTTGTATTATTTCAGTCATTCTAAATCTATTGAATCTGACTTTCTGATCCTTTATTATCTAGGTGTGTCCCGGATAATGTTACATGAGCACTTGGAAAGAATATATATTCTGCTGTTGTGGAATAGAATGTTCCATAGATGTCTGTGGGGTCTTCTTGATTTATTGTGTTGTTCAGATTTCCTATTTCTTTGTTGATCTTCTTCCTATTTTTAAAAAAGCTTTTTTGGTTTTTTTTCATTTACTTTTTCCATGAGCAAGAGAGACACAGAGACAGACAGGCTGAACTCCCAACAAGGTCCCTGTGCCGTGATCCTTCCCTAGTCTCAGCCAGCCCTGGATCATGGACGAGTATGTGCCCCGTGTTTTCAAAGAGATCTCTAGATATGAACCCAGAACTTCCTATGTGGGACAGCCTCTCAAAGTATGATGTTTCACTGCTGCACCCGCACCCAGCTCCTGCTTGTCTTTCTAGTTCTACCCACTAGCAAAAGTGGGATATTGAAACTCCAGCTGTTACTGGTGTATTTCACTTTGTTGTGTTTGCCACTCAGCAGCTGTTGAGGCAAGACACCTCACTGTCAAAAATATTATAACTCACTGAAGGCACAGATGATTGTTTGCATATTTTAGCACTGTTATTTTTTAATTAAGGCATGTACATTGTTTTGTAGATGTAATGTGATTGCATATTTAATAGACAACTATCACTCTTATATGCACTGATCCAAAATTGTTGTGTAACTTGCTTTATTGTAGTGTTCCCTTTTATTGCAGTGGTCTGGAACTGAACCTTCAATATTTCTGAGGTATGTTTGCATGAATTCTCTAATCATTCCTTCAATTCTGACAGTTTTTACTTCATGTATTTTGGAGCTCTGCCATTAGGTTCATATAAATTTGTAATTGTTCTATTTTATCAATGAATTAGCCCTTTTACTTTTATAAAACACCCTTTTGAAATCTGGAGAACATGTTGTAAAAAAAATCTATTTTATCTAATCTTAGTATGGCTGCTTTAGCATTATTAGTGACCGCAAGGTATATCTTTTTCTATCCTTTTGTTTCAACCTGTTTGTGCCTTTGAATCTTAAGCATGCATTTTCAAACAGCATGTAGTTAGACCAGGTTTGTTTATGTTATTCTGCAAATCCCTGCTCTTTAATTGGAGATTTTAATTTACTTATTAAATTAAATAACGTAATTATCAGTGAGGTAAGATTTATGCCTGCCATTTTGCTATTTATTTTCTAAGTATCTTATATTTTAAAAGTTTCTCTGTTCTTCAATTACTGTCCTTTTTGTGAAATACATATGTTCTAGTGTGCTATTTATTTGAATTCTCTTGTCACTTCTTTGACTATACAGGTGAGTCTTTAAAAAGTTCATGGAAATGTATATTATAGACCTAGCCTTTGTGGTGTAGTGGTAAGGCAAGTGCTCTACATGGCTAGAAGCCATATGGCCAGCCATGGGTTTGGGGCCCAGAGTTGGTCTGAAACCATATTGAGTGCATGCATGGGCATCTAGGAGCCTGAGGAACTGGAGAGCAGGGGGATGGCAGTTGTGCATGATGGAACTCTGTGGCTGCTTCTCTCTCTCTTTCATGTGCACTTAACTTCTATAAAAAATGTATGTATGTATAAAAGGAGCCAGCAGGTGGCATCGTGGTTAAGGTGCTGGACTCCCCCATAACCAACTGTGGTTTGAGTCCCGGACCTGGCAGCTTGAAAATCATACCAGGCACATGTGTATGCATGCCCAAAATCTTGAGAGGAGAATGGAGGAGAAGAGATTGTGCCGTGGTCATCCCCTCTGGGAGGTAACTTCTCACTTTCCTTCTTAAAGAATTCAAAATTCAGTCTTTTCTGAAGTTTTCTATTTCCTTTTGCACAAGAATCAGGATGGAGCTGGGGAACCAGAGTGCAACTAGCTCCTGGGAGATATATACATCCAGGGATGTAACCACTACACCATCTGCTGGTCACTATGCACCTATCTTTTAAAACAAATAGAAAATAGAGTTATGAATGAAAAATACATTTATACTTTTTAAAAAATATATATTTACCTATGTAGTTACCTTACCAATGCTTTTTTCTTCATCTGGATTGAGGATTTAAGTTACTGTCTCGTTTCCTTTCTTTTTAGACTGAAGGATTCTCTTTAGCATATCTTTTATATCCTTCAGGGTAAGTTTGCTAGCAACACATTCTCAAAATTTTATTTTAATCTGAGATAATCTTAGTATCATTTTTGTGTCTGAAGGACAGTTTTGCTGGATATAGAATATTTTCTTTCACCGGGTGCATATGTGTGTTTGCTCCAAAATTATGAGAAGATAATGGAAGAGAAGGTATTGTAGCATGACCAACCAACCCTCCTGGTGTGTTATTTCTGACTTTCTGTCTCTGTCTCTCTAGCAAGTGCATGTATCCTGTAAAAAAACTCTTAAAAAAACAATATTTTTTTCAGTACTTTTGAAAATGTCATCCCTCTGTCTTGTGGTCTCCATGGTTTCTGATGAAAATCATTTATTGATCTTATTGATGATCCTTTTTATGTAATCACTCTCTTCTTCTGCTGTTTCCAAGGCTTCCTCTATGTCTTTTGACAGTTTGAGTTTGCTGTCTGGATTTGTTCTACATAGTTCTTTGAACTTCTGGGATGTATAGATTTATGACTTTAAATAAATTTGGGAAATAAATTACATTATTCAAATATTCTTCCTGCTTCTTTCTCTCTCTCTCATGTCTTGGACCTCCCTAATGCATATGATGTTTTTGGGTATGCTACAGGTACCTAAGTTTCTTTTCATAATCTTCTATTAATTTTGTTCCTCAGACTGGATATTCCCAATTCTCTTATATTCACATGTGTTGATTCTTCATTCCACTTATTTAAATATTTGAAACATCTCTAGTGAATTTTGTATTTTCACTATTATGTTTTTAAATCCACATTTTTTTGAGTTTCTTCTTATAAGTCTCTACTGACTTTCCTGAATGAATTCTGTAAAGTCTGTATTTGAATTTTTAAACTTATTTTTAATTTGCTGGAGGGCACATGCTCTTGTGAGGGAGAGAGAAAGGAGGAGGGAGTGAGAAAGCATCCCCATAGGGCATCGTCATGGCACAACATCATTCTTCCATCTGCCCCTCCTTTTGGGATTTTGGGTATACACGCATGGACCTGGCAAGTTTCTCAAGCAGCTGGGTCCAGGTCTTAAACCACATAGTTGACCATGTAGGATTCAGCTGCCTTAATCACCATGCAACAGATTGGCTTGTATGTCGCTATTGTTTGTCATAGGTGGCCACCTAACTTTTTACTTGTTTAGCTTAGTAGTCAACGAATGCTTGGATAGAGATTTCCTTAAACGATTTTAAAAACAAATTTTCCAGCTTTTTTTCCTGAGGATATCTCTGTGCATGTTGGGGCACAGCTTCAAAACTCAGTCAGACAGTTTACAGTTCTGTCTTAGCCTTGTTTCTGTTTGCACAAAGCCCGAAGGTGATCCAGAGGCGAGAGCTTAGGGCTTTCCAGGTCTTTCCTAAACATGTGTCCAGCCCTGGGAATGGAGACAGCCCTGCATCTGCCTGTGGCTTTCTGGATTCTATAAGAACATTTTATAACTTTTCTTAGCTTCTATGGAAGTCACATTCCTCAGCTTTTCCCTTTATAGTTTTCAGTTAGCCTATTGTTCTCCCAACTGTGGAGAGCTTATTTACTACCATAGACAGCTGCTAAGTTAAACAGTTGCCTGTAATTGTGTTTTGACAGATACCTTTGGGGAGAAGACTTTATATACTGTCTGGGCTCTGAATAAGGTTAAGTAAAGGTATTTTAGTTCCTCAGAGAAGTAAGAAACAAGTCAAATAATGAATATTCCCTCGGAATAATGCTTTAAAAGAGGTCCATCCCATTCTGTGCCCTCCAGTGTCTTTCACTATGATAGTGGCTGTCAGCTTCCAAGGCTCATGTAAAGCTGGAGAGGGAGAAAGGAATAGGGACAGGGCAAGTTCAAATACCTCAGGGCGCACTGTTCCTACTGAGATTCAACTGTTTTTTCTTGGAAAAAGAAAAAAAAAAACTATCCAGGTTGCTATAAGCTTTTGGTTCATTTGTATCTTTCTGAAAATACTGATTCTTACACTTTTTTGTGAGTTTTCACATTGCTTTTATGAAGGAGAGAAGTTTTGGAGGTCGTAACTCTGCCATTTTTGCTGACATTATCCTTCCCCAATTGAATCTTGATGCATATTTTATGTATTAGGTCCAATCGAAGGGAAATACATTAAGTGCCAAATCTCCTGTTGATGTGTAGAAAGGAGACTGTTAAGAGATCTCACAGGGACCAGCAGTTAGCGTAATGGCTATGTCACTGGACTCCCATGTAGTTGACCGCGGTTCCAGTCCTGGACCCGGTGGCTTAAACTCACACCAGGCACATGTGCATGTGTGCCCCAGATCCCAAGAAGAGAATGGAGGAGAAGGGATTGTGGCATTGTCATCCCCCCGGGGGGTGATTTCTCACTTTCTGTCTGTCTCTGTCTGGCGAGCACACACACCCTATAGCAAAAACCTCTCCAAAAGAAAAAAAAAAAAAAGATCTCCATATGTTGAAGAATTCCATGTTCAGTCTTTTCTGAAGTTTTCCATTTCCTTTTGCACAAGAGTCAGGATGGAGCTGGGGAATCAGTGTGCAGCCAGCTCCTGGGATTCAGCAAGATTATCCCCCGCTGTTTATCTACCACACTCTCCTGTGTAAACCACACTCCTGGGCATTTGGACTCTGTCTCTTCATATTCCTTAGTAGCTTTTCTGTGGTTAGACTTTCCATGGCAGAGGCTGACTCATGTCCTTGAAAGAGTCTGACCTGAGGACAGCTGTGTCTGAAAGGCTTTCTTTCCACATCCAAGAGAGACTGTTACTTAAAGGGAGAGGAGGACTTAACTCTTTGTATCTATGATGATGACAAGTTGATATTCTCTAATCCTTTCCTGAAATGATTTCTAGGTGAAAAAATGAACGGGATGCATTTCTCTCTTTTAGTTTTTCAGCAGTCTAGTTCTTTCACACACAAGCGTCAGTCTTCCACTGTGACCAAGAAAGAATAGTCTTTTTAGTATATACTCAATCAATAAATTCTGTGATGAACCGGTGAATGTGCTTCTTTCATAGCACCTGCTATGGACTGGGAAAGTGATTAAGTTTTATTTCTGCCATTATTCCAGAGAGTCACAACTCTCTTGTTGCTTTCATATCTTGGCTATGAACTGTGGACTGTGGAATCAGCTTTAACTGCATCTCATCCCTTAATTCATAAAAAGAGCAAAGTGGTCCAAAAGCCACACAGAATATTCAATATTGTCCCTTCCTTTTTCTTTCATTTTCTCTCTCACACAGAATGAAATGGAAACACCACCTAAAAAAAACTGAGGAGGTTAAGAGAAAATACATATTTTTTTAAGCTCATGAATTCCCTCACATGAGAAGGCATATTAGGGAATGACCACTTTTTTTTTTCTCATTTTCACTGATTTTGCAAACCATGCAAAGATATGATTAGATATTAATTTGAGATTTTGAGCTATTAGGGGATTCTTTTCTCTTGAAAGATTCCACTTTTACCTCAAGTATGGGCAAAGTATCATATTAAAACATACTTCATCAATTTACTTCAGAGTTTCGAATTTTCTGATTTAGTCTCGGTGGTAGAGCGATTGCCAGTGTTTGCTTATTTACTATCTGTCAAATTGTTTCCTTCTCGTACATAAGCATAGAAATCCTACATGTGGCTTGATAC